AGGGCAGCTTGGCCACCTAGGGAAGAGGACGACATGCATTATGGTGGCCACAGCCCAGTGCTACCCAGAGCCGAGGACTCTCACAACTTCCATTGCGATACTCCTCAACCCACTTTACAATTCTCGTTGGGCTATTAGGGAGCTCTTACAGCAGCATCACCACTGCAGATGTCCTCGGCATCTGCCAACCCCACTCATGGATGGACGGGCAATGGAATCCCATCAGAAACCAACAGGGTAACCAAGGAGCCCTTGAGACCCATCTGGACACACGCCACCTCACTCCTCCTCCCGCCCCCTCTTAGCTAGCCTGAAAACAAGCCACTAACAGCGTGTGTCCCTGGTAGCTAAGTTCACTACTACGGCCTCCCCACTGGGTCTCTTTCTCAGCAGTCCACTCCCAATTACTAGGTCCTCTGGTCTACACTGCCTGCCATCAGCCCCTGCAGAGAACCCGAGAGAGGCTGTAAGAATGGCTCGGACTTGTCTGAGCGGCATTTCAGACCCTCATCCACCCCAGACAGGGGGACAGTGCGTGACAAGTCCCATCCCACAAGGCCAAGGAACGTGCCGTGCATTCTAGGGTCTTTTGATCCTGTTCCCAGCCAGGTCTGAGTCATTCTCTCTACTGGTGCTGGAGTAGAGAGGAGGGGGTAAAAACAGGTAGCTAACTCCACTAACCCAGAGGGGCAGGGTGGAGCGCAGCTCGCTGGAGAGAAAACCGCCCTCTCCTGGTGGGAGGGGGCTGACCTCTTCCCGAGAGCAGGGCCAAAGTGAGACAGATCTAGACAAAGTGAGAGACTCTAGGCCGGCTTCACCCTCCAGAGAACCTAGTCACCAAATATGGAAAACTCCAGCCAGTCGCCCAGCCAGTGGAGGAGGAGCCAGAATATCAGCAGGACAGACTAGAACATTCCCAGGGCTGTCCTCTACCACCCTTCCTTCCTCCCCTCCTCCAGCTAAGTCCTCTTTCTGGAACATTCCGGCTCTCCTTGTTTTCCATTGAGAGCAGGTGAAGATGTTCCTCCCCATTTCTGATCGGCCTCAGCCTCCTCCTCCTCCCTCGGTCTTGCTGGGCAGACATTGTTTTCAGAGCCACAGCCTTGATAAGCACTCCACACCCCAAGATCTAGAAGGCCTGCCGTTGTCCACTAACTCTGGTGGGGTGTGGACACACAGCTCTGATGACATCCCAGGGTCCTGGTTGGGCCTCACCCTGCTGCCCTGGTCCTGCAGGATGGTGGTATTACCTTGTCATTAATGAGAATCTCCATGGGGTTGTTACCCCATTCAATGAGGACCAGCTCGTTGGCCTGCCCAGGCACAGCGTAAGAGAAGGGCGTGCCCACTCCAGGCGCTGCGCTGGACTTGAGCCACATGCACACGGTGAAGGCGTACATCTCCGGCAGGCTCTTCTTCACCTTGGCGTACATGTAGTTGGTCCGCAGCGGGAATGTCAGCTGGAATTTGTCTCCGGGGCGATTGTCTTTCTGACCTAGGGAGGACAAGATGAGTCCTGCCATCTTGACCAAGTGCTTATGGTACGAGTTGTGTTTGGTCCCCCCGTCAAGTCCCGTGGTGCAGAAAGGGCCAGCTGGCAAAAGAGCTGACCCAAGATATCTGCACTCTGGGCCCGGCCAGCTCTTGTTGCCACATGGTGGCATCTCTTGGGGAGGCAAGGGTAGGGAAAGAGCACAGGACAGGCTGCGAACCTGCCTCTGGACTGCAGAGTGGGCATGGAGAAGGCACTGGGCCTGCTTCAGGGCACACTGGCTGAAAGACTGAGAAGGTGTGGCTGCAGGGGAGGAAGGAACCAGGCTAGCTCCCTGCTGAGCATCCCCCGTGGGGGCCGACCTGATTTAGACAGGGACGGTGTTTAGGACCTCTTGATTATGTTGGGTTTTTCAATCTCCAGCAAAGACAGCCATCCCCTCCTGCCTGCCCCTTCTCTGAAGCCAGGACATGCTACATCCAGGCACACTGGACCTTCGCACAACTCCCTCAGACGGAGCTGCAGCTCCCCCGAGGATGCTGCCTGGAGTCCACTGAGGGAGGCAGGGCAGCAGGGGAAGTCACCCTCCTTTGGATCAGAGACCCCGGGGTGATGCTTTGAGGGGGTCACAGCCTCTGATGAGCTTCCTGGAAACTCAGGCCCCGTGCCTGGTTCCCCCATCCAGTTTCTTGACTGCTAACCAGTATCCTCTGGAAATGTCTTAACTCTCACCCCCACCTCTACACCTCCTGTGGCTGGCCCTGGGCCTGCTGTGACTGGCTCCCAGGAAAACAGGTCCTGTTGAGAAGTGGGTACTCACCCTTTTAGAGCCAAGGGATGCACCTGCCCTGCCAGCTCCTGGCTTTACCCCTGCCCCAGAGCCCAGGAAGAATCTGGTACCCAAATTAAGAGTGACTTCTAGAAAGCAGAGGGTCCAGGCCAGAAACACCCCAAAGCCAAGAGAACAAGCGAGCAGGGTCAGAGCAGGGTCAGTCCTGACTGCAGATCCCTCCCAAATCAGGCTCGTAGTTTGGGGGGTAAGGAGTACTGGCCTCTCTCAGAAGTGTTTTCTTTTCCTGAATCTCCCACCCCTCCCTTCTTAGGTCTCTTTTCCTTGATGTTTTTTCAGTTACATAACACGCCTTAAGATGGCACTGTTTAAATCCAGCCGGCACATTTTGCAGTCCGAGCAGGGTCACGTGTCCCTGCTCTGAGCTGGGTGCCCCCCTCCCCCTTTTACAACCTTGTTTGATTTCTGCGACTCCAGGGCACAACTAATCAGTACACCCAGGCAGGTGCTAGGGGCGGTCTGAGTTCACGACCAGGGCAAACTCAGCGGCATGAAAGATGGGTCACTGGAAAAAGAAAATCGAAAGAGGGGGCTCAAGGTGGAGAAAGGGACCTGGACCAGGACACCAGGGGCACTGGGCAACTGGGAGGAAAGACACTCAATGCCCCAAGAGGGCGGGTGTCCAGTCTTTGCAGGCGATACGTTCCAGCTGAAGCAAGGCTTTCTGAACACTAAGGAAAGCTTGGGCCAGACACAGCTACTGTGCAAAGTTACTGAAGATTAAACAAATCAGACTTGAAAAAAAATCCTGTGAGTGTCCTGACTGCACTGTGCAATCCGTTCTTAAGCTCCGCTGCTTCTCCAGGACACTACGCGGGAAGCTCTGACTGGGGAGGCTTACAGTGTGGGTCCGGGACCAGAGGCCAGGGCAGGGAGCGGGACCCTGGCCATGTCCCTAGAGGGAGCCGAGAGCATGCAGCATGTCCCCCTGAGCCCTTACCTTTCTCCAGCTCGCTGATCCGCTGATGCAGGGAGGTCAAGGCGCTCTCGATCTTGACCCTCTCCTCTGTGTCGTTCTTGGGGCCCCCTTTGCCCTCCTCCAGAGTGTTCACCCTAGACAGCACCTGCCGCTCCAGGTCATCGATCTTACTCTGCAGCAGATCCTTGAGGCTGTTGGTCTGGCTGGAAGAATTGAGGCGGCTGTACTGCTGCGGGGGCACAAGGGCAGGGGAAAACCACACCGTTAGGCATGCAGCCCGGACCGTGAGCGAAGGCCCGCGGCGCGGTCCCTGGGACGATTGCGGGGGCGGCCTGGCGGGGAGCTCCAGCGAGAGGCCGCCCTCGGCGACCCGCAGGGTCCGAGAAGCGACGGTCCGGCATCGCGCGCCGAAGAGACAAGGAAGGGGGTGGCGGGGGCGGATCGGGTCGGGATGGGGGTGGGCGAGGGCAGGAGGGCGCACAACGCGGAAGGGAGGGGGGACCGCAGCTCACGCGGACCTCGAGGTTCTCCAGTCGGGTTTTGAGAGATTGCAAAGTTTGCCCGAGTTGGCTGAGCGTCTCCGCGGCCGGCGTCCGGGACAGGTCGCCCATCGTGTTCTTGCCCGAGCCAGGCTGCTTGCGGCCGCCGCCCGACCTGGCTTCGCCGGGACCTGCGTCCAGGGTGCTCTGGCTCTCGCAGCGGCCAAGCTTGGTGGTCAGCTCCCTGATGGTCTCCTTCTGGCTGAGGATGGTCTCCTTCTGCTGCAGCACGGTCTCACGGAGCTGCAGCACGTTGCTCCGAAGCTCCTCCGCGCCGCCCGCGGCCACGGACGCGGCACACATGTCGGCGTCCACCGGCACCGATGTGCAGATAAAGCGGGTCGGCCCGAAATCCTGGGCCCAACTGCCCAGGAGGCAGAGGGCGAGCAGCGCACAGGTGCGCGCGGTGCGGCCGACCAGCATGGCTGCGGACACCTGGAGCACCGAGTCCGCTCGGCTCCAGTAGGGTTCGGGCTGGGACCGGGTTCGGGCTGGCTGGGGCAGTCGCTCGGCAGGCGGCCCGCGCTCTGGGCACCGATCTTCTCAGCCGTACGGTCTTCTCAGCCGCGCTCCTCGGCCCCCACTGCCGCCTGCGCTGCGGAGCCCGCGCCTTTTATGCAGCCGCGGGAGGGGCCTCGGCGCCGCCGACGTCAGTGGGGGAGGAATCCCGCTTTAATTGTGTGCGGACGGGCCCCGCGGCGCCGCGGGGGTCGCACGGGAGCGCGGCTGGAGCTACTTCAGCCCTCCCTCTCTCATCCCTCCCGGATTCGCCGCCGCCCCCTCCCACCGCCTCTGTACGCACGCCCCCGCCAGGGCCCGCGCCGCTTCCCCGAAGGCTCCCAGAACACGGCCAATGGGGAGATCAACCGTGGACCTGGATTAGATGCTGAGGCACCTACTCGGTGCTACTAATCTCCGACGGGGCTCGAAAGAGAAGAAAGGCTACCAAGATAAGCTCAAATCGCTGGGTCGCCCTGAATGCTCGCCAGGTTCAGGTTCTGCGCGCTTGGAGCCCTTTTCTCCCCAAGTCGTCAACCTCGGTGTGCCCAGCGTGCAGCTCGCCGAGGTTCGAGAAAAGGGGTAGCGAGGCCGCTCCACGGCTCATAGACGTCCGTTTGGGGCTGAAAGCCACGGAACACCCTGGGTCTGGGAACTCCCACGCCCTGGATCCCCGCCCTCCTGCATTCCCCTTTTCCCAATTCCTCCCGCCCCAGAAGAAGACCCCCCCCCCCATGCACTCATCAGGACTGGTGCCTTCTCGCATCTGCGGATCGAAACCTTCCTGCCTTCAAAGCAAGCCTAGTTCCGGGCAGGTGGTGCCTCAGAAGCTGGCTCGAAAGGGGCCACGGCGGGAGCTCCTTCCCTTAGAGTGAGGATGCGCTCTGGGCGTGTCCGTGTGTCCCTTTGTATGTCTATGTGTGTTGGGCTTCGTTCCACATGAACTCTGCCTAGCCTATTCCTCGCGCTCCGGGACTTCGGGGGAGGGGCCCCAGAGGTGGGCAGCGACTTCTTCGCATCTCTGATCGTTTTCTTATAGACACTAGACACCCCGACCAAGCCACCCCTATACCTACGCCTCTTTTTTTTTTTTCTTCTGGATAGCGGCACCGCCTGGCAGGGATTCCAGTCCAGGTTCCAGTGCCTTTGGGGACTATGGACAAGGGTCTGGGCTGCATCGTGTGCCCCAAGTCAGAACCAGAATTGGGCCTGGGAACTCATTTCAAGCTCCAATTATGTAGAAAGAGTAACTAAGGCAGGGAGAACACAAATCAGGTTTTAAAAGACTGAAAGAGCTCCAGCTACCAGCTGGCCTGGTTGGCCCCGCAGACCGCCCCCCATCTTTTCCAATAAGCCGTCGACTGGTTGCCCCACAGGCTTTTACAGGGCGCTGGTCCAGACAAGGTCCCGACCGTGAGTCCGGGATCCACAGGCAGCCCTCGGACAGTAGATCCCAGAAGTGGGCAGTGGGCATCGCCGGCGGTGAGAGTAGAAGCCAGATTGACAGAGAAGCCATTATCCAGGTCTTCTCTGACGCCTCCTCCAAGCCCCAAGCTCCAGGGGCGCCCCACTGCCTACGTTCCACATCTTCGCATTTAACCATCCGGAGTCCGGGCTGCGAGCCTCCGTGGCCCCTGCATGCCCGATGCATCATCGCTAGACCGCCGCTTCCGGGCGCCAGAGGGACCCCTCGGCCCGCACGCGGCCGTCCTGGGCTTGGTGCAAGGAGAGAGTGCGTGGCTCCCGCTCCCACGTGTCCACTGCCCTGCACCGAGCACAGGAATCCGCAGCGCCTCGCGCCCGGGCGCCCCCTAAATGCCCTCCTTGGGACCCAGGATTAGCCTCGTGCCTCTCTGGGCGGGACGTGCAACGGAGCCACACTAGCTGAGGAGGAACTCCGGAGGAATAACCAGGGGCGCTGCGCTGCTTGGAGATTAGCCCCCTATTCCCAGCCTAGTGCGGAGGGACGCGGGGACCCCGCGCAGGCTTAGCGCTTCGGCCCGGAGGCGCCTCCCCCACGCGTCTGACACGAAGCAGTTCCCGGCCCGGCCCTGCGGCGAGGCTATCCCCGCTCTGAGTGCGTGGGCGCGGGAGACTAGCCTGGCCCTTCCTCTGCAGGTGTGTAGAGGGAGCTGGAGTACTTAGCTCGATTTTGTGTCTTGAGGCCCAGGAGCGGACTGGGACTCCGATTTTTACCATCCTGGAGACCTCAGCGGCTTGGTACTTTTACACTTAGGTACTGAGGATGCGTAACCTTTTGACAGAGGATGATGGGAGCGGGTGGCTCAGAGGGTAGAAAGAGTCCCGGGCCTGTGACCAGGGGCGACAATACCTTTGGGATCTACGGAGCCTAGGCTAGGGAAGACAGCTAAGGGCACAGTCCACTGGGCCACCTTTGCGAAGTGTTCTGTCCACTTGGAGGCGCTATGCGGACCCCTACTGGAACAACCCAGCGCAGGTGGGCAACCACACTATAAGAGGCTTCTTTAAATCCTTTCCGGCCGTTCTCAGGATCCTGGGTAGGGAGAATCCACCCTGGTCGTTACAAAGTTGGCTCTGCTTCCCATTGTTCTGACTGTCTAGAAGCCCAGGGGGGCCGGGGAAAGGAAAAGGAAGTGTCTCTTACCCAAAAACCATCCGAGGGGAACCCAAGGAGCTCCTTACACAAAGACAGTTATTTCTCTCTGCCTGGCCCGGGTACCACATCCCAGAGCTTGGAATTGAGGTGAGAAGAGGTGGAGTAAATACCCCTGCGTGGGTCTGTGGACACAGTGCCACACCTGGGGCTGGGAAACCCTGGAGCTTAGCACAGCCTTACAGAGTGGTCCCATGCCCATGCAAAGCCCAGAGATAATAACGGCAGGAGAACAGAATGAGATGTATAAAATAATTAGGAAGTGATGCATTTAGAATCCTTAATTTCCACTATAATTATTTAATTGTAATTTTTATGTAATTTAAGCCTTCGTGATGGCTGGGTTAACCAACTTGCAAACTTCCTGAAGATTGAACAGCCGCCTGGCCTGGGCTCAGCACACCACGGAGGGAGGGAGCAGTTCTCACACGGCGTGGGCGGGGGTGGGGGGTGGGGGTGGCAGGTAAATTTTGTTTGCAAGCTGATGAAGCTGAAGGCTGGTGCTAGGGTGGAAAAGGTGGGTGTACTCAGGAGGACTCCACAAGGAAATCACACAGTATTATGAGGGCATCAATGCCTGGCAGGGCCTTTCCCCAGAGGAGAGTGGGAGCTCACACAGGGGTGGGCTCAAGCCCCTTCTTACAGCTTGGCTCCAGCAGTGCCAGACAGGGCACCAGCCTCCCCCAACCCCTGCCTCTGAGCCCTGCTAGCATGAAGATCCGTGCACCTCACACTTTAGAAAAAGCTATCCCCGCTGGGGAGAACCTGGGAGAGACTGAGTGGGTGGAGAGAGGCCTATTTCCCCCTTTCCAAGAAGAGAATCACAGAGTCTCACTGACTATGGAGACTCAGGGAAACTCATCACAGAGCCATGTGCAAACCTCCTGGGGGACCTGCCATAGCGTGCTGGCATCCATCTTGGGTGGTGAGTGGCTGTTTTTTTTTTTCCTTGCCCCCTATGCCTGTGTTGTTCCGGGCTGACTCTTTTCAGCCCTGATGCTGGCTGTGTTTTGTTTCTCCCCCTGAGCGGTGTGGGTGCCACTGGTACTTCCTATGTGACAGCATTCCCCAAACAAGGTTGGGGGACAGTATCCACAGACAGCCACCTGCGGGCTTCTTACTACCACAGGGACCAGCCTTAAGGACATAGCCATATGTGTCATATGAAACTTCCCCATAAATCACCTAGTGACCAAGGGGAGGGCGGTGGTGCTCAGACAGCAGAAAGCCTCACAGGCCTCTGAGTCACAGCCTCAGCCCACTTGCACCCCAGAGTCATTCTCCGCCCACCAGCCCTGTGACTTGCAAAAGACCTGCTCCCTGGCTGGGCTGGGAAAAGTCTTTCTGTCTGTCCCCTCCTTGGACATGTCTGTGGCCGTCACCCTATCTTATAATCAAGAAGTTAAACTCCTGCTGGGTGGCGGTGGCGGCGGCACACACCTTTAATCCCAACATCAGGAGGCAGAGGCAGGTGGAACAGAGCTCTGAGTTCAATGCCAGCCTGGTCTACAGGGTGAGTTTCAGGACAGCCAGGGCTACACAGACAAACCATATCTGGAAAAATCAAGTGGGGAGGTGTTGGGGAGAGGTTGGTTGTACTTTTGATACTTTTTAATTTAAAAAAAAATGTTGAGAAAAGGAGAAGAGAATATTTATTATTGGGCTGGAGTTGCTCAGAAGCTGAGAGCATGTTTTTCTCTTCCAGAGAACTTGAGTTTGGTTCCAAGCACAGATGGCAAGTGGCTCACAGTCGCATGGAACCCCAGTCCCAGGAGATCCGTGACCTTTGACCCCCATGGGCACCTGTAGCCATGTGTGTACAGGAACACACACACACTGAAATCTAGTGGTGAGCATTCCTCCCTGCTGAGCCCCTTACAAGACCCTGGTTGTCCTTTTTCAAGACCTCCTTCTGGATTTGCTCACGTGTCTGGTTAAGGCTTTGGCTACTGTCCTCACCATGAAGAGATGCACCAGAGGAGGTCTGGTGGGAATGTGATGGCCATCAAGCCCTAACTCCGTTCCAGTTAGGAGTCCTTGTCAGGGAAATGAAAGAGCTTGGTGTAGTAAATAGGGGTGGCAGGGCTGCGTCCCCAGCACCCCAGCTGCCTGGCTAGCTTATGCCCAAAATAACAACACACAAACTGTATTCATTTAATCACTGTTTGGCCCATTTCTATCTAGCCCTTACTGGCTAATTCTGATATCCCGATCAACCCATTTCTAATAAACTGTAGCACCGGTCTTACCGGGAAGATTCTAGCCTATGTCCATCCTGGGTCAGAGCTTCATAGCATGCGTCTGCCTGGGAGCGGGGCATGGCGTCTCTCTGAGGTGTCTGCTCCCGAGAGCAGAGCTGTGGAGTCTGAGCTCACTTCCTCTTCCTCCCAGCGTTCTGTTCTGTTTACTCCTCCCACCTATCTTCTAACCAATAAAATGGGCCAAGGCAGTTCCTTTATTAGCCAATGACCTTCCTCCATCAGCTTGGTGGGAATCGGGGCCCAGCACATCCCTAGCCACTGTGCAGGTAAGTGGGTGAGGCTGGCGGGGACTCTGGGCTCCAGAGCATCTCGCTCGTCTTCTCCATCTGAAGCTGGCCTTGCTCACTGCACCCACTGCCAAAATACAAGGGAGCGGGCCCTGCTGCTCTGGGGACCGAGTTGTCACAGGCAACTCACTCCCCTCCACTTTCTGAGGCCTCCTTCCTTTTGAGCCAGCCAGGAAGCTACTGGCCCAATCCTGCTGGGGACAGGGACCTGCATGGTCTCTCAGCCAGCCCTCCCCTCCCTGTCCTGCTCTGGGGCTGAACCCAGCTTAGGAGAGCTTGCACTGGTGACTTGTTTGTTGTCCCAGTAAGCATTCATTTGCAGGTGGGAATATGAAGCAGCCCAGCTCTTCCAAGCAGGGCTTTCAGATGCCAGCGAGATCTTGGGCACTTAGCGCAGTGTAAACATTCCTAGTGTTTGCTCTCAGCTTGGCAGACATTTTCCAGAGTGGTTGCTGAGGGCAGGCAAGGTGCCAGAGCCGGTGATGAACAGAATACCGACCCCCATCTCCGAGAGCTGTCTATCCAGTGCAGTAGGCAGATAAAGCACACTTTCCTCCCCGAGCCCCTGGGCACAGGTCAGGGCTACCATAGAGAAGTAGTGTCTGCTGACCAGGTGACATTGGAGCAAGGTCTGGAAGAGTGTGGGAGGCACAGAAGTAGTTTGTATGATCAACACAGGAACTGCATGTGTAGGTCAGTGGCAGGACGCTCGCCTGGCATGCACAAGGCCCTGGGTTCAATCCCCAATATCACACGCTCACAGACAACATTCAGCATCATGAACAGTGTAAGCAAGTGTGGCAGGGTGTTTACCTTGTCAGTCATGAAATGCTAAACGGGTGTCATATGGGGATGTGGTAGAAACAGACAGACAGACTTTAGGTAGATAGGGAGCCTGGCTGAGTGTCCGTCCACCTCTGAGCAATGGCAGTGGTGTGCTCTGTGTCTGGCATGCTCTGAGGTCCCAGACGAAAGGACTTAAGGGGCAACAGAGACCATGAGATTCCACTTCATGAAGGCTGTAGCAGAGGTCAGAGAACATTGGAACTTGAGGACATCTTAGGGAATTAATGATAGCCCAAGACATTTGGCTTTGGCTTGGGTTTTGAGCAAGAAGGATGGTAGGTAGAGGGAAGTTTCTGTCCCACCTGGTCCGGCAGCCGTTCAGTCCCAAATAAACACACAGAGGTTTATATTGATTATAAACTGTGTGACCTATTGCTCAGACTTATTACTAACTAGCTCTTAGAACTTAAACTAACCCATAATTCTTGACTATGTTTAGCTATGTGGTTTGGTTACATTTTCTCAGTAAGGCATTCTCATCTTGCTTTCTCTGCATCTGGCTGGTGATTCACTCTCTGCCTTTCCTCTTCCCAGAATGTATATTTCCTGCCTGGCTACTGGCCAATCAGTGTTTTACTAAACTAATATGAGTGACAAATCTTTACAGTGTACAAGAGCATTGCCCCACAGCAAAGGATAGACATTAAACTGAGAGAGCTTGGGCTGTCTTCCTCTTGGGGGAGTGAAGCATTGATGCTGCCCACAGGGGAGAGAAGGAAGGCATTGACTGGGTGAGCCTAGAGGAAGAGAGTCCATGAGTCCTTACCCCAGAGTCCCACCCTCCCTTGGTGTCGTATAGCAAAGCATCACAAGCTATGCTGGGCCCAAATACTCTGCAGGTGTTGGGGACATGAGGCGACCCTGCAGCCTGAGAATAAAGGTACAGCCAAGTCATGAGGAAAGTCACCTGGAAGAATGTGGTGTTAAAGAGAAAGCAGGAAGCTGGGCAGTGGTGATGCACGCCTTTAATCCCAGCACTTGGGAGGCAGGGACAGGCAGATCTCTGTGAGTTCAAGGCCAGCTTGGTCCAGGACTTACACCAAAGCTACACAGAAACCCTGTCTTGAAAAACCAAAAGTGAAAATAAAAGTAAATTAAAAAAACTAAATAAAGAGAACACAGGGGAAATCCAGCATTCAAAGGGTTCTAGTCTCTGCATTAAAAACTAATAAGAACCTCAACAATGAGTACACTGCCAGGCATTTGTACGGTGCTTTCTGAACTTCAACATGCCCTACATGGTTCACCTTGCAGCTCTTCTGACACTAAGCTCATAAATGCAAATGAGAGTGGCCTGGAGGAGCCATGTGGAGCCCCGCCCACATTCACTCTGTCCTAGAGATGAGATGCTCCTCTCCACTAACGGCATCTGGCTGGCCTGAAGGGTACCGGAGGGGCCCCGCCAGCTCGCTGTGTCCTTGCGCATCAATTTCACCATCTGCCAAACACCGGGAGAGAGCATATGAAATATAAAATGAGTGGAGGCATAAAAGTGTTTCAGAATAAAAATGGTATGTACCGGCGAGGGATTACAGCGACTGCAAGGTCTCTGTATGGACACCATCACTCATGCCTAGGAAAGGAAAAGCGTGGGCTCCTTCTAGCGGGAAGCAGCAGCTCTCACGCCTGTTCGCTGGGGGACGGGGTGGCCACTGGTTGACTTAGGACAGAGTAGTAGTTGGGGTGAAGTCCAAGGCCTCACAGGGGCCATTCACAGCACTAGGGGAATGACACGCATCTGAGTAAAGGCACAGCTCAAATAGACTGGATCCCATGCCTATGTGGGTCCTTCTTCTTGCTGCTCAAGGGACCTAGGAAGTAGCACAGCTGGTGGGCCCCTAGATGTATTTTGCCCATTTTTCGAATGAGGCAGTTGAGTAAACGTGCAAAGGAACAGGATTCCAGGAAAGCAGGAGCTGGCCACCAAATCTGATCATTCATCCGCTTACCGGATGAGCAGCCGTCAGGGGCCTGCTGCGTGCCAGGAACTCTCCTGAACCCTGGAGACACAGCGAGGTTTCTGGCTATTTTTTGTTTTAATTGATGGATACAATTTTCTTGGTTTTAAGTTTCTCTTCAGAGCACTTCGCTCAAGACATTGGCATCCACTGCCCGTAATTACCAGGAGATGTCTGTAAGAAGGCTCGGCGATAGGTCCGAAGCCAGAATCCAACGGCCCTGCCCAGAGTCCCCAGATCAAGATTTTTTATGGTGTTCTCCTTGGGCTCTTTGCCAGACTCTACCCCGAGTAAAAATGTCAAAAAAATGATACGATGGGAACTCTGTTCAAAGTGAAGCCGACGGCAAGCTGGAGCAGTGGGAGGGGAGAGGAGTACCGTGGATAAGCCCTGCGGTCTCTTCAGTTTCAGCTTGACTCTGGGTAGGATGTGAATTGAATCTGATGGAGGTGGAGAGGCACTCAGTGGCATGCGGGTGTCAACGAATCACTGTGGTTACTGCATGATGGTATGTTGTCGGCTCAACAGGGTCTCCATGCCAGGTTGTGCAGAAGGAGCGGAGAGACGGAGGAGACCGGCCCGCCATCCAAGCTGGGTGTCCCACATCTCTGCGCCTCCTGCTGACTCGGTGTCTAGCTCTCTCAGGCCCTGAGGGTCTCTCATCACTATCTTTCCTGGGAACTCGTGCAGATGAAGAGGAGCTCCTGCGGTGGGGAGTAGGGTCATCCTCAAAAATCCCCAAGTGGAGGGTAGAAAAATGGGAAACCTTAAGCTGCTTAAATAGCTGGAAAGAACGGGAGAGAAAAGGGAACGGGTCCTTGGTGGTGGTGGTGTGTTTAGGTCCCCAAGTCCTTTCTTGGGGGTAATTTTTGTTTCTGCTCTGACTGGAAAGACTTCACAGCAGAAACCTGTAGATACCTGGCAGCGGGCTAGCCTCAGCCACGTCACCTACTTTCTCTTGGACCCTCCTTAGGTCTCTTGTCATGCTGCAACATGGTGAGACACAAATCCCCAGCCCATTGTGCCCCTTCTTGCCACGGAGAGTCTCCAAGTGCTGCCCACCAGGAGAACACAGAATGGCGCTGCTCATACTCGGTGTGCAGGGAGAACCTGCCACTGCCGCCCCTTACTTACCTCAAGAAGGAAGTAGGCTAAACCAGAGGGGACTACAGCGTGCGAAGACCTGAAGGATGGAGGAGGCCCTTCCTGAAGCCCCCATCATTTCCCCAGGCTGTGGCCTCCTCCTGAAAAGGCAGCTTGGAGCTCCCAACTTCTCTGCATAGCCACACACCTTCCTGCAAGTGTTCTGGCGGGAGAGGGTGTCCACGTCTCTGACAGGCTTGGAGGACCAGGACTCTCCACAGGAATAAGCTACAGTTGCCCCAGGGTGTCCATTTTTTTTTAAATTTTTTATTGTTTTTATTGAGCTATATATTTCTCCCCTCCCCTCTCTTGCTCCCACCTCCCCTTCCACCCTCTTCCATGATCCCCATGCTCCCAGTTTACTCAGGAGATCTTGTCTTTTTCTCCTTCCTATGTAGATCCGTGTATGTCTCTCTTAGGATCCTCTTTTTGTCTAGGTTCTCTGGAGTTGTGGGCTGTAGGTTGGTTTTTCTTTGCTTTATGTCTAAAAGCCACTTATGAGTGAGAACATATGATATTTGTCTTTCTGGGTTTGGGTTACCTCACTCAATATGATGTTTTCTAGCTCCATATGTTGATTTCTCAGAAAATTAGGAATCAACCTTCCTCAAGACCCAGTAACCACTTTTGGGTATATATCCAAAGGATGCTCAATCATGCCACAAGGACATGTGCTCAACTGTGTTCATAGCAGCCTTGTTTGTCATAGCCAGAACCTGGAAACAACCTAAATTGTCCTTAAATTTTTATTTAATTTTGAGACAGGGTCTCACTACATATCCCTGACTAGCCTGGCACAGAATTGGTTATGTAGGCGAACTGTCCTTAAACTCATAGAAATCTGCCTGCTTCTGCCTCCCAAGTGCCGGGACTAGGTGTGCCCACCACACCTACCTTGCACTTTTGTCCTTTCAGTAGGCATCTGACACCCTAACAAAGTGACCTGTGGCCCCTTCCCAGTTCCTTTAGTATCTTGGGGTGGAGACAAAGGATGGTCTTGTCTGGACCTGCAAACAGACTCTAGTGCCAATAGAGCCTGGCCTTGGGCATGGGGGCCCAGGGCTGGGTATATAATGTACCAGGAAGCTGAAGCCCACTGTAGTAGCTCTGGTCTCAAAACCTTGAACAAGTCACTTCAACTTGGGAGCTTTTTATCTCTGAGAGGTACTATTTTCACTTCCAAGTAGAGGAACCAGAGAAGCCATATCTGAGTTGGAAAGGCCAGAGCACAGGGTGCTGATTTGGGGGCCAAGGGCCAAGAAGGGGCCTGTCCTCCTACTGTTCCGGGAGGCCTCCTGGCCCAAGCCTACCTGTTATCCTGGGAGGCTTTTGCAGACCCAGTGCCTGCAGAGGCCAGGGTGCAGCTCCTCCCAGGCCATGTTGTCCTGGCTGGGCTGGAGGAAGAACTAGAGAGGCTGTTGCTGGGAGGACAGTGATCTGGCCACCAGGAAGTTTGCTTTCTCCTGCTCAGAACCTGGCACCTGCACCCTTCTACCCAGGCATGGACCCTGCTCTCATGAAGGCCAAGAGTCCCTGTGGAGAAGGGTCATGGGTGTGATGCCCAGCTGGATACATTAGGTCACTCACACTCATGGCCCCTTCGAGTAGGTTCTGCTGAGAGTGACAGGAGCCAAGCCCATGGCCAGGGGGAACTGCTGCATTTTGCTGCAGTATCTGCTTGGAGTCTTAAATCCTCTTCTGTGCTCTCTCTTCTCTCTCTCTCTCTTTCTCTCTCTCTCTCTCTCTCCTCTCCCCCCCCAGCTCTCTCTCTTATTTTCACCCTCCCCCCCCCAGTACACACACCTCTTCCTTTATCGTTTCCCTTCTCTGCATACATCTTTCTCTCTCCCTCCCCTTTACCCCCTCCCTGCCCTGTTTCCCGACACCCTGGGCATCACCCTGCTCTATTTGGTTCTGTGAAGTCATCGCCTTCTTCCTGTGACTGCCATTGGAACCGACAACAATGAAAAGCGCCCGTTTTACACCCACTGGCCCAGCAGCTCTACAGAGGCGCAGAGCTTTGATGCCAATAATTAATTTGGCTCCATATTGCATAACGTCCTAAAAAGCTTTCTGGGGTGAGCTCCTGTGGGCCGGACACTGCAGTCTCATCAATATTGCACCACACGGGCACTACTCTGGTGTGGTTTCATTAAAAATTTAATTTGTGGTTTAGATCTACAGCGTTCTCCTTAAAAGGATGGAAGGGAGGCAGACAAGGGGAGGAACAGCTTTCAGATTGGGGGTGAGTAGGTGTGGGCGAGAGGAATCCCATGCCCCAGGGGAGGGGGCCTTCCTAGCTGGCAGGAGAGGCTACCCCTGTCTCATTGGCAAGTGTGTGCTGCCTGCTGCTGCTGCTGCAGGCTGGGTGATTAGACCATTCATAGAAAATATTTCTTCACGGTTCTTTCTATTTTTTTCTCTCTTTCTTTCTTTCTTTCTTTTTTTTTTTTCACTAGAGGGCTGCTCCTGGGAACCCAGGTTCTGGAGGAGGGCCAGGTGGCAGGGATGGCATTTTCCTCTGGAGACTGTGTCCTCTGTGACCCTCCAGATCCGAAGAGAGAGCCACAGCCCTGTACCCATGCTCCTGGCTGTGTGCCCTCGGAAAGGTTCTACATCTCTGAGTTCAGGGCACCCCACTACCCTGTAAATTGAACAAAGTGACTCTAAGGACAATGGCAGCTCAGCCCACGATCACCATCACCCTGGTGTGGCCATGGGTAGGCATGGGGTGACAGAACAGAAGACACCCACAGGAGAATGTTCAGAGGCTATAAGGTGGCTCATCTCATGTGGTCTCACACCCCTTGATGCTAGCCCAGGACCCCCACTCTGCTTGGTTCTGTTCTTTCCCGTTAGGGAAGAGGAACCATTTTGAGAGCTCAGGTTCTGGGGATAGGGAATGGAGATAAAGGCGGGGTGGGGGTAGCAAGCATAGGGGGACACTAGGGGACTTAATGAAGCTGTTTGGACTCTGCCCTGGGGACTCCCAGTCCAGTCAATTGTTTCCTTTCAGGAAGCGGGAATTTGCGCATCCCCGCCATCTTCTGATATTGTTCCAGAGTGATTAAGTTAAGCCTCCCGGGGCCAGCTGGGGGAGGACAATTGCTTTGCGGAATTGATCTGCTGCTGAAGCATTTAGCAGCTCATCCACCCTCAGATGCGCCCACCTTTTGAGGCCACTGCGTGGGTGCCCTCCCCTCCCCTCACTGTCCTTCCTCTCAACCCTCCCCTCCCCCCTCACTGCCCCACACAAAGGCTCCTATCTGGCACTAGTACTCAAGTCTCTTGTCACATATCAGAGGCCCTGAGACAGGGACACAGGCAACCTGGCCTTGGTACATGCTCGCTACCCACGGTCTCAGGCTGTGCAGACACCAGCTGAGGGTTGGCAGGGTACTGGGATCAGGAAAGGCACAGGAAAAAACCAATCTAGCCCTGGCCCAGGGGCTCCTGGCTCCTCTCTATCTGCAAATCCTCTGCTTCCTAATCACCAGGACAAGACACAGCCTTCTGTCAGTGCTGGCTTTAGAAAACCTGCATGAGCTGGGGTGACCGGGGCGGGGGAGTGGGTGGTGGAGCTCTGGGACCCATAGGCTGAGGCTGGGCCACTTAGGGAGTGAGCAGGTGCCAGACCATGGATCCTTCTAGATGCAAGATCTGCCCAGGATAATAAAAGACTTGGCCTTGTGGGTGAATTCCGATGAGAGAGTACTCTTAGTCATTGGGTGTGCTTTCCTGAGGAAACATGGGACTAGGGCCATGGGTGCAGCAGGCTTGGGTGTCTGCCTCTCCTCGTGCTCTCTTTGGCTTTGAGCCCCGTGCATCTCTCTCAGGCTGGGGCCCATCCTCCTCGCCTGCTCCACATCCTCAGACAAACACGCTGTTCTTAGAATGCTGTTTCGGGGCCAAAGCTGTGTTTTCCCTCCTTTGAGGAATTCAAGCACTGCCTGGGCTCTGGCAGCCCTAACAAGTCCGGCTTTGCTTCCCTCCTTAACAGGCCAGCTGAAGAGTCAAGCAATGCGAAGGAAGAGAAATTTCTTCTCTGTGGCCACATCGGGAAGAAGACCAAAGAGGCCCTTCAGTGTTCCAGGTCCCCTGCCCAAAGCCGTCGTTGGGGTTCTGACGTGAGGCTTAGGTTTGAATAGAAGCCAGAAGGATGCTGAGCCGTCTTGGGGCAGGTGCGGCCCTGCCCATCACTGACCCATCCTTATCTCTGCCCCGGTCTCTATTGCAAAGCTGTCTGACAAGTTGTCAGAACTGTGTAGGGTCATTTCCCAAGTGACAAGACCGTCTTCTGGCTGGCACCAGGCTCCAACCTTTCCCCTTTCCCAGCCAGAGATTCCCAGGGAAATTCCAGCTTCTTGGAGACCATTGTTTTGTAGCCCAAGAGCCGAATGGAGCAGTGCTGGAATATCTCATATCTTCGTCCCACCGCGATGGTCACGATACAGGGTTCTCTGCAGGCTCCCTGTGGCTGGTAAGGGAACAGAAGGAAGAGGATTCTCAGAGCAGCCCCACTGTGGGACCATTGCACACTGGCACGCCCTGTTCTTACTACGTAGCCCTGGCTGGCCTGTGGCTAAGTGGTTTTTTGTTTGTTTGTTTGTTTTTGTCTCTTTTTAATTTATAATTTAAACTCTACATTAGCTGCCTTAGTCATTTTTTTAAAGTCCAGTTCCATTGTCATGCAACCACCACCTCCATCCCTCTCAGGAACCCCATGAAACACCGACTTCTCACATCCATTCCCTAGCCCCCCCCCCCCCCCCCCCCCCCCCCCCGGCAGCTCCCATTCACTTCCTGGCTCTACAACGCTTACTGCTTCAGGGTCTCTGTGCAGCAGTCCACGCAGTACCCGTACACACCCACCTTTGACCTAGGGTAAATCCTCTCACGGGTGGGTGGGCCAGCCCTGGCTGTCACAGCAGTGACTGGCAGCCTCTGTTTGTTTCTCTTATGTGCACATTCTAAAGCAAACACGCTGGGCCACACAGTCCACCTGCTCAGCCCAGATGCATACGCGAAAGCTGCCTGGGACTCAGGATCTCATTCTGGGTCCCAGCCTCTCTGGCCTGAGTCTGCTGGCTCCTGGAGCCATGCTCTCTCCTGCCCAATTTTCTGAGCCTATTCACTGCCAAGCGTTTCCTGAAATCTGCCGGGAAGGGGAGCGTGGTGACGGGCACACCAAGCAGTGTCATTGCCCTTGGGAGGCAGGTGGGTCCCCTATGTGGCCAATTCTCCATCTCTTAAGACACCAGCTGAGGATCCGGTAGTCTACTTCAGTTATGAAATTAACTCCTTAGAGTCACTGTCGATCCCGAAGCTCCAGGCTTCCGTCCCTCAACAAGA